AAAGTAGAATAAACTCACTGACTGTACCTTATAGTAATAGACAGGAGTCAATGTTGAAAGTCAAATAGTAAAAGTTTAAACAAAATCATAAAGAACAATAAAATAATGGTATATTTGCTAAAACCAGTTAGTAAAGGAGGGAAGAAAGAAGGAAAGGAAGAGAAAAAAGCTAATTGTTACTTATTAAGGAAAAAAGACACTGCTTTAAAAGAGAGAAAGATGAGTGGTTAGCATAGCATATTATACAAACTTGTCCAATCACCATGCTGTATACCTGAAACTAATGTAACACTGTGTGTCAATGACACTTCAAAAAAAAAAAAATTTTAGTTAAAAAAAAAAGAAACAGGAGTATTATATGAAGGTATAAGTATAAAGGTTCACCACTAGTGGGAAAAATAACACTTCTTCTATTTAAAAAGCACACAGACCACTTGGAAGTTTCAAGAACACATATAATCAGAAAATATAAACTGATGTGACACAACTAAGACCAAGCATGTATGCCTTTCCTATCTATCCAGCTTAACTCATCCATTAACAGAAAAAAAGCTTTAGACTGACCCACATAGCAAAACCATTCTATGTCGTCTCCAAGATAGATTTGTGATTCACAAAGTATTAAAAAAGGTAAAGGAAAGGAAAAGTTAACAGATAGGATAAGGTTCACAAATACATGGATTGTAATCCTTTCATTAGATTATGCAGACTTTTAGCTCAAAGTATAAAAAGAAAGTCACTTTATCATTGTAAAGGGTACAATTCACAATGAAGAAAACAGGTGTATATAAGTCCTTAATAATACAGCAGCAACATTAAGAAAGTAGAAATCACAGGAGATATTAGGAGAAACACAATAATAATAGAATTTAAAAATTTTTCTCCCAGTCTGAGAGAACAAGTAAACAAAAATAACTCAAAAATGATCTAAAACAACATAACCAAAATGGTAAGCACTGATGGATATTCATTTAACTCTACCCTAATAACTGAATATATGTATTTTCAAATAGCTATCGAACTTTCACAAAAATTGACTATGTATTAGACTACAGAATATACCTCAACAAATCCTTCCTGAGAGAGAGAGAGAGAGAGCTCATGCACCTGTGAGCAGGGGGAGGAGCAAAGGGGGAGAGCGGGGAGGGGCAGAGGGAAAGATTCTCAAGCTGACTCTGCACTGAGTACGGAGCCTGATGCAGGGCTCAATCTCATGACCCTGAGATCATGACATGAGCTGAAACCAAGAGTTGGGACACTTAACCCAATGAGCCACCCAGGCACCCCTAGACTACAAAATATACCTCAACAAATTCTAAAAGGAGAAATACAAGCCATATTCTCTGATTAACAACCCACAAAACTAGAAATTTATAACAAAATTAGAAAATAAAAAGATCTTCAATCTGAAAATTTAAAAAGTCTCTCAGAATCATTTGGAGAAGAGGGAAAATACAAATAAAATTTGTGTTGTTTCTAGACAATAATAAAACTTCTACACATTAGAGGCTTTGGGATGTAGCTAAAATAGTGATCAGAAAAAAATTCAGTTTTAAATAATTTCATCATTAAAAAAATGAAAGTAAATGAGTTACTAATATAGCTCAAAAAGTCAGAAAAACAACTAAAGTAACAAAGTAGAAAAAAGTAGAGGAAAACATTTATAAAGCTAAAAGCAGAAATTAAGAATTTAGAAAACACAGAGCTAAAAAAAAAAAAGTTTCAAAAGCTATTTTGCCAGGTGGCTTGGGGGAGAGGGTGTTGAAACCAGTTATTTCAACTATTGTCTCTCAAGAGTAAAACAGACAAAACACAAATACACAAAATAAGAAATGGGGGGAAACCAGAGAAGTAGATACAATTTCAAAAAAAAAAAAAGAAACTATGTAAAACTCTCTAAAAAATCAAATACAGATAAAATAATTTTCTAATAAGACATAACCTACCAAAAATGAACCCCAAACTGAGCCTAAACAAATTGATTTTCACAAAATAAATGGAAGTTTTCAAAGAGCTACTACCAATCAAGCAAAACAAAATACACCATTCCACAAGATTTTATAGAATTCTACCAAATCTTAAGAGCTAACAATTTAAAAACTTGTACATCTTAGAAAATGAAAACTTCTAAATTTGAAAAACTTTGAAAAACTTCAAAACTTGAAAAAGATTACACAAAAAAAGATTACAGATCAAACTTACTTTTGCATTTTGATTAAAAAAGTAAAATATTAGCAAACAGAATACAGTATCACATTAAAAGAATCCAGAAACACAAGTTTGGTTCAATGTTTGTTAAAAAGACAAGAAATATCATATCATTAGCTCCACTGATCCTAAAAAGAAATCTGACAATAATAAAATAGGGATCAATAGATACTCTTACACATATACATACATATATGTATATATCATGCTTAAGGTAGAAACATTGGAAGCATTCCTTTCTACAGTAAGGAATAAAAAGAGGATGCCCACTAATCACTACTGCTTAACACTGTCCAATTAGTCAATATAATTTGGTAAGAAAAAAATCAGAAGTATAAAAATCCAAAGGAAGAGGTAAACCTATCACTATCTGTAGATGAAATGATTATAACTTAGAAATGCCAAGAAAATCACTTGAATAACTACTATAAACAAAAATGGAATTCAATAAGGCAGAGAGAAAAAGGTATACAGAAGTCAAAGGCCTTCATGTATGTAAACAATAACCAGTTAGAATCTATAAATCCATTTCATAGCAAAAAAAAGGGGGGGAAATATGTGCAAGATATGTGCAACTTTTATGTGAGGAAAACTTTAACAACACTCCTGAAGGAAACAAAAGTAATCTTGCACCAATAAAAAGGTACAGTGTTTTCTTGGACAGACTCAGTATCTTAAGACATGCCAATTTGTCCTAACAATTTATAAATGTAATGAGATTTCTATAAAAATAACAGCCCATCCTCCCAAACCCACTGGTGTTTCTACAGCTTACGTGGTAAAATAAATAAGAATAGGCTAAAAAAGCCTGAAGAGAAATTTGAGACTAGCTCTATAAAATACTTCAAGTCATAAAAGAAACGATTGGCTACTACATTAAAGTGTTTGTGTATATGTATTTACCATCGCCCCACCCCCAAAGACACAAAGTTCTACATGGCAAAATACAAAAACAAGACTGTATCAAAGGTTAAAAGACAAATAATCAGGGATAAATGCAATTCCTAACACAAGGGGCTAATCTCCTTAATTTAGAAAGCGCTCAGTAAATGAGAAAACTGAAAATCAAACAGAAAAAAAGGGCAAAGACATAAACAAACAGCTAATAAAAAAAGAAATAAGGTGACCCTTACACATGTGAAAATATGGCCAAATGCAAAATAAAAGTACATGAGGAAATGATTTCTTGCAAATCCAATTAATAGAATCTAGAGCTTGACATTTCTAGTGGCAATAAAACAGGTAGGCTCATTCACTGATGCAGAATATTTAGAACCTCTACAGAGGGCAATCTGCCAATAATGATCAAAACTACAAATACATTTGCCCTTGACCCATTAATCTTCCCTCCTGAAATCTATCCTAAAGATACATCTACATATATAGGAAACGATGTTCTGAAATGGGAAACAAAACAGTCCTCGTGTACATCAAAAGAGGACTTCTGAGATATAGCTCCTCGGTGACATTTCCACAATGGTAGAAGCAACTGAAAACAATGCAGAAACTATGTAGTGATCTGGAAAGATCTAGGGATCTTTGAAGGAATGGATGATTCCAGGTATAGGGTAGGAAATATAAGACGAGCCTGAAATATCCTCCTGTGTCAGAAAGCAAAAAAGCTATCAAAGACTAATAAATACAGAATTAGAAAAAATACCACTTGGTAATCGCTAGTGAAACAAATGATTTGGGTAACAATGATTACTGAATGGATTATTAGTAATTGAAAGGTTATCTGGGAGATTTACAATGAAGAGATCAGGCCTACTGATCTCTGAACCTACAGATCAATCTCAGTATCACTAAAATTGGAACCACTAGATACTGTGTGCCTCCTAATATGATACAATATGAAGTATGTATGAAGTATTCTGAACCAGAATTGAATCAAACTTCTAGGGCCAACTTTCATTTTTCAGGAAATACAGGGGACAGAGGACTAAGGTAATGACACCAGAAGAACAAAAGACAAATGTGGATTTTTGAATATTCTTCAAGACAAGTGGCAGAGTTTCTCTAACCAGTCAATGGCATTAAAGACAAAACAAAACAAGAAGAAGGAAATGGGACTACTGTTTAAAAGGCATTATCAGCCAAACATGATATGTGGATCTTATATAAAACTTTCTTACATACGATAATGGCATTATGACTATGTAAGAAAACACCCATTTTTTTTTTTTAGAGGTACATACTATAGTAGTAGAGACAAAATAACTTGCTATCTGGGATTTGACTTAGAGGAGTAAATGTAGAAAGTTTAAGGAAAGGTGGAAAATTCTTGACAGTTTGCACACAGGTGGCAGTTTATCATACTATTCTCCCTACTTTTATATATGCTCAAAAATATTTGAGCCAAAAATGAGAATGCAATTAACACCACTATAAGCATCAGTAGTAGGTATAACACCTGGGGTCACCATGATCAACAGACTACTTTTCCTTTAAAACATGTATTTCATAATGAAATACTGACTTAAAAGTTAAAAGGACAAAAGTGAGATTGTTCAGATAATCATGTCAAGGCTTTTATATATGCTTTAATGTGCTTACTTCATGCTCAGTAGCATTCCAGGACAACTTCTGTGTAAAGGCTTTCTAAACAAAATGTAATAAAAACACAAAGGTTTTTCAACTCTGTCTTAATATGTGTCCAAATATTACTTCCAAGACACCAGTACATATAATTATATATAAACTGCACACATACACACACACACACGCACAGACGCATGCGTGCAATACAGGAATCGACTACCCAATACAGAATATTGTTTTAGTTCCCTTACCATCAATATTAAGCATCATTTTCCACATGGCAGGTCGAACAGATTGATGGAATCCAAACCATACTTCCCTGCCCCCTCCCAGGGGGTGGTCATATCCTTCTGGAGCTGAGAAAAAGGAACGCCCCACAGGCGTATATCTACAAAAATTAAAATGTCATGTTCAGTCCTTTCCTTCCCATATAGGTATTTAAATTTGCAGAACAGGTGAGTCTAGAGCACATAAACTTAATTTATTCTAATGATGCTTATCATTAGGAATATATGAAACTAAATATTTTCCAAATTTGTGAAAGCAGAAAGCAGCCATTCTAAATGAAAAACAAAACCAAAACAAAAACCATCAGCATCCTTTACTGAAATTCTATCATCCTTAAACTAATGTTAGTTTGGTTAAGAATAAATTTTATTTAAAATACTTTCTTAGAAACAGATGAAAAGAAACACCAGTTCCAACCTTAGGAAATGCTAAAGAGTAAATAAATATTGATTGAAAGGTTATTTGTATAAATGTGTTTCCAAAATATATTTTTCTTTAAAAAGACACACTGATCCTATATAGGCACACAAATACAAACATACACTTGTGAGGTGATAGTGTGATTAAGAGAGTAGCAATTTCAACACAAACTGATATTATTGTATAAACAACGAAATTACCTTTAGAACAAGGGGACTTAACTAAATATGTCAGTTATCCAAGATTTACAGCTTCTAAGATAAAGGTTAGACATTTCTCTAAAAGGTATCCACACTAGAACAGCTACCTTAATGATCTGCATTCACTTTCAAAAATCAGAATTTTTTTCTGTAACTTACTTCTTCTGTCAATCAACTTTTATGCATGCTATTCTTTAAATGAAGGAATGAAAACATACAACATGTGAAGGTTAATCAAAGGAGGCTTGCACAACCCACTCTTGGGAAGAAAGCCTTCACATTGAAAATCTAAAAAGGAGAGAAAGCCAGAAGCACCCACTTCATGGAGGGCAGATGTCGTAGCACCACATCAACGGCATGGACAGGATTAGTGCTGATTGGCTTGTCTAATTCCAGTGGCTCAGGCAAGGTCCGTCCTGTCAGTACTTCGTGTAGTAGGTGCCAACTCACCCGAGAGACAAATTTAATCGACACCTTGAAAGGTCGATCTTTTCCACCTTCCCCAGGTAAAGTAACATCTAAATCTACCTGTTGATGGGGAAATAATCAATTGATAAGTTGAAAAAGATAAGAATAATTATTTTTAAAAGATATTTAAGAAAAAACAGAGGAAATATAAAAAACCAACCTCAATGCTAAATCAATAATCTCCGTTATACTGTTAAGCAAAAAAAAACAAAGTACACAAGATTACAAATAGTATGCCATCTTTTGTGTGAAAAAGGAGAAAATGGGAAAATATACATATATTTTATTTCTGCAAAAAGAAACACAAGAAGCATGAACCAGAAACAAACTGGTTACTTTCAAAGGATGGGAAGAAACAGACTGGAAGAAATAAAGGAGGAATAACAATACTGAGTATATTTTTCAGTATAGTTTTGATTTCTGGAACCATATTAAATAAAGCTTTTTTTTTTAAAATAAAGTTTTATCAGTTAAAAAATTAAAAATAAAATCAAGAAGGATGAAGTGAAAAAATTAAAATATAAACAAAATCAAATGAAACCAAATGTGTTTCAAATGAATAACCTAACCACACTGAAAGAAGGGGAAAAAAGAAAACATTAATGCAAGGAACTCTTGAACACAGTATACTGAATATATTCTCAGTTGGGAGTGTGGAGGAGAGGTGGGTGGTATGGTGTAGCAATTCTGAAAGGATTTTATAAATGTTTTATAAATTGAACAAATGAGAAAAGGCAGTGATGTTTTGAGGTTCAAAAAAGGAAGATACAAATATGCAATGTGGGGAGCAGAGGAAGAATCCTGGGGGGATAAACTGAAACTTGAAGGATCAGTTTGAACTCATGATTTCCTATATATATATATATATAGTATATTACACAATAAGTAGTACTTGTATAGGATACTTATTATGGTAGGTTCACTATATGACACACAATATTTATTATATATTGTCTCTTTTATTTGCTTATTTATATATTTTTATTTCCAATCTCTGTCCATTTTAGAAACACGTATACCTCAGCAGCATGAATACATACACAGATTTTGGTTTCTAAGTTGCATCCCCCAACTAAAAGACACCATTGTTCCCTTGAGAAAGGGCCAGTTGCATGGCTGCAGCAGGGAAAACATAAGAGGAGCCTGGATCATCTTGTGCCAGAAAGTAAGGAAGTACTCAAAAAAAGTGTGTAGTATAAAAAGGAAACAGGAACCAGCTTAAAGGGGCTCCCAATGGCCAAATCGGGGACAACTGGGGCAGTGAAATAAATAAGGATAAATAAATTAGGGAAAAGAAAATGCTCTCCGTTACAGTCAATCTAACTAATAAATGTAGAAAGAATGACAGAATTAGAAAATCACCATTACTACATAGTAATAATCCTTCCAAGCAAGAATCATCAATTACTTAAAAATCTAATGAGAACAGGATCCTTAAAGTATCTCCTATATCTGGGAGCCTGGGTGGCTCAGTTGATTAAGTGACCAACTCTTCTTGATCTCGGCTTGGGTCATGATCTCAGGGTGGTGAGACTGAGCCTGCATAGATAGGGTGCCCTGCAGCAGGGAGTCTGCTTGAGATTCTCTCTCTCCCTCTGCCCCCCACCCCCTGGCTCGCACTCTCTCTCTAAAATAAACAAATTTTTAAAATCTTAAAAAAAAAGTATTTCTCCCATCAAAATTAAAAACTTTTCAGGGGCGCCTAGGTGGCTCAGTAGGTTAAGCATCCGGTTCTTAAGCTCAGCTCAGGTCTTGATCTCAGTCAAGGTCGTCAGTTCAAGCCCCATGTTGGGCCCCACCCTGGGTGTGGAGCCTACTCAAAAAACAACAACAACAAAAAAACCAAAAATACTTCTGTGCATCAGAGGACATGATCAACAAAGTGAAAAGGCAACCTACAAAATGTGAGAAAATATTTGCAAATCATGTATCTGATAAGAATATATAAAGAATCCCTAAAACTCAACAACAACTAATCCCAATTAAAAAAATGGGCAAAGGATGAAGATACACAAATGAGCTCATGAAAAGATGCTCAACTCACTAATCATTAGGGAAATGCAAATCAAAACCATAGTGAGATATAATCTCACACCCATTAGGATGGTTACAATCAAAAAACCCTCAGAAAACAACAAGTTTTGGCAAGGGTGTAGAGAATTTGGAACCCCTGTGCACTGCTGATGTGCAAGTAAAATGGTACAGCCACTGTGGAAAACAGTATGGTGATTTCTCAAAATGTTAAAAATAGAATTACTACTTATACACAAAAGAACTGAAACCAAGAACTGAAAGAGATATTTGTACATCTATCTTCACAGCAGCATTATTTGTAATAGCCAAAAGGCGTTCATCAACAGATGTATGGATAAATAGAATGTGGTATATACATGCAACAGAATATTATTCAGCCTTAAAAAGGAAGGAAATTCTGACACATGCAACAACACGGATGAATTTTGAGGACATAAGGCTAAGTGAAGTAAGTCACAAAAACACAAATATTGTATGATTCCACTTAGATGAGGCAGAGAGTAGTCAGAGAGACAAAAGGCAGAAGGGTGGCTGCCAGGGGCTGAGGGGAGGGGAAAATGGAGACTTAGTATTTCATGAATACAGTTTCAGTTTTATAAGATAAAAAGAGTTATGGAGATAGACAGTGGTGATGGTTGTGAATGTACTTCATGCCACTAAAATGTACATTAAAAATGGCTCAGATGCTAAATTTTATGTGTATTTTACCACAATTAAAAATAAAATCTCCTCACAAGCGTAAAGAGAAAAAAGAAAAACTTGACAGGAAAAACCTGGCAGATACTAGCTGGTATTTAACCAAGTGATCAAACTTAATATCACCATTAATGGAACAAATACCTATTAATGTCTCCTGATATGATCCACTGATAAGGAAAGAACACTTGTGTGATTATTTCTGCCAAAAATGCTTAATCAGAATCTAATCAAGAGAAAACCAGACAAACCCAGACTGAGGGACATTCTACAGAACAACTTGTCTGTAATCTTCTACCATGTTAATGTCATGAAAAGAAAAGAAAAAGCCTGGGAAACTGTTCCAGAATAAAGAAGACTAAAAAGATGTGGTAACTTGGGGCACCTGGGTGGCTCAGTAGATTAAGCATCTGACTGTTGATTTCAGCTCAGATCATGATCTCAGGTTTGTGGGATTGAGCCCTGCATTGGGCTCCGTTCTCAATGGGGATCTGTTTGAGAATCTCTCCCTCTCCCTCTGCCTCTGCCCCTCCCCCTCCCTCTGCCTCTGCCCCTCCCCACCCTGCTCATGTGCTCGCTCCCTCTTTCAAATAAATAAAAAAATATGTATTTTTTAAGATTTTATTTATTTATTTGACAGAGAGATAGAGAGTTAGTGAGAGCAGGGACACAAGCAGGGAGAGTGGGAGAGGGAGGAGCAGGCTTCCCGCCAAGCAGGGAGGCCGATGCAGGGCTCAATCCCAGGGCCCTGGGATCATGACCTGAGTCAAAGGCAGACGCTTAACTGACTGAGCCACCCAGGCACCCCTAAATAAATAAATCTTAAAAAAAAAAAAAAGACATATTATCTAAATACAATCATGAACCTAGACTGAATTTTGTACTAGAGGGGGGGAAAATGCTAAAAGTCATCAGTGGAACAAATGACAAAATTGGAATACGGTTGTTGATTAGATAAAAGTATATCGATGAAAAATTTAGTAGAGTGGATAACCGTACTATGATTTTTATCCTTGATCTTAGGAAATAGATATTAAAGGGCATGACACATGCAACCTTCTCTTGAATGGTTCAGGAAAAATTAAGTATGTATGTGTATCTCGCTCTATATAAATATCTATAAACACAACAAAAGAAAGAAAGAATGATAAAACAAATGTGGTAAAAGTTAAGGAACACTAGTGAATCTGGGTAAAAGGTTTACATGAGTTTTTTTTTTTTTTTTAAAGATTATTTATTTATTTGAGAAAGAGAGAGAATGAGAGAGAGCATGAGAGGGAAGAGGGTCAGAGGGAGAAGCAGACTCCCTGCTGAGCAGGAAGCCCGATGTGGGACTCGATCCCCGGACTCCAGGATCATGACCTGAGCCGAAGGCAGTCGCTTAACCAACTGAGCCACCCAGGCACCCTACATGAGTTCTTTAATTCTTACAACTTTTCGGTATGTTTAAAATTATTTCAAGGGATGCCTGGGTGGCTCAGTGGGTTAAGCATCTGCCTTCGGCTCAGGTCATGATCCCAGGGTCCTGGGATTGAGCCTCACGTTGGGCTCCCTGCTGAGCAGGGAGTCTGCTTATCCCTCTTTCTCTCCCTCTGCCCCTCCCTCTCCCCTGTTCTCTCTTCTCAGATAAATAAATAAAATCTTAAAAAAAAACTGGAAAAAAAATACAATTTCAAAATAAAAAGATAAATAATACACTCTTATGTATATATGGACTATAATAAAATGGTATTGTGGGGTGCCTGGGTGGCTCAGTTGGTTGAGTGTCCGACTCTTGGTTTAAGCTTGAGTCAGGATCTCAAGGTCATGGGACCGAGCCCTGTGTCAGGCTCTATGATAGGTGTGGAGCCTGCTTGAGATCCCCTTCCCCAACTCAATCTCTCTCTCAAAAAAATAAAAATGTAAATAAACAAAAATAAAAAACAAAGGGAGATATTGCAAAAGAATAGCTTTTCAGTAAAGGAATGCATCTTACCCCAGTAGTTGCCACAGGAAGTGGATTGGCTGTGTAAAGGCTTCTTTTTCCATCATAAACTGGTCTACGGTCCCCAAATATAGTCACTTTAAAATGCTGAACCATTGAGTCAACCACCTCCCTAAAAAAGAGAAAAAATACATTCACATAATCCTCTGCATGATGAAATACAAAATACAAAATAAAGTAATTCTTGCACTATTTAAAGCTGCCAAAATTCTAAAAGACAGTCATACTGATAAAGATATTGCTTTCAGGATCATACCTTAGGATACCAGAAAGACTGATTTCTGGCAAGGCATATGAATTTCACAAAAGGCATAAAAGAATGAATCCAGTGAATTACCTAATCATTCTGGGCCTCAGTAAAACTGCAAAATACTATCCTTAGAAAATGATCCTAAATCCCTCACCATCTCTGAGCACTACCTGACACATGCACTTCTCTATCAAAGAGTTTGATGCTCTTCACTCCGTGCTCAAATACCACCTAGTACATATATCTACTAGAACATTTACTACACTGTATTATAATTATTGTATACTTCACTTATACTAGACTGTGAGATTCCTGAGGGCAATAAACACACATTACACCCCCAATCCTTTTCAACCCTTTCCCCATCCTTAAAATATTATCTAGCCAGTAAGAATATTCCAAAACCTGTTTTCCCCCAGTAAACATTTTTGTCCAATATATACTTACGTGGAAAGACAGTCTTTTACATTAAAAAAATTAGACTATAGTGAGAATAATACAAAATATCCACAAATCAACATTTATTTTTATACACACATTACTTGTAAAAGCAGTGGAAAGGTATCTAGAAGGATATGTACCAAATAGATACAGTGGTTACCTCTGGTGAGAGGAATGAAGAACAATTTTTTATTTTATCTAAATAATCTAAATATATTATGATGAGAGTATACTTATATATTACTGGTATAATTTACAATACATTTAAAAGAATGGGGAAAAAATTCAATTCTAGCCTATGGGTAGGTAGGAGAAAAAGGAGAAAAAGACATTCTCTGATACAAAATAATTGAACTGACTTGATACTTAAGAGCAATTTTCTACATGCTCAAAATTTCTATTTTTCCTCTTCTTCAATTTCACTTTGCTGAAACTATTTAAATCAAGATCAAGCCTCTTTTAGAGTAAATTTTACAAAAAAGATTTGACTCACATCCATTTTTACATACAAAACAAATTTTCAAAATTTTCTGCCATTTACAATTTTCTTCTGCAGCCGTTATCATCAAGTCCAGTTTCTTAGGTGAAACTTTACAGATCTAATTTGTCAGAATGTTTTGACTATTTTGTCATTTTTACTCAACAGTAAATTGGTATAACTTTAAGCTTACCAAATCCTGGCAACCCAATCAAACCACTCTAAAGATCAAAATGGTTGGAGATTAAAATAGCTGTGCTAAAACAACTTAGGGATAAAAAATGTTCTGTTTCGATATCTAGCACATTATATTCTTCATGAATGTTCTAACAGTGGACAATCTACCTCAATAAACTGCTAGAACCTCCAATGGAATCTAAAGCTGAATTCAAATTATCTCCCCCATGTTTTCTGGTTATCCTATTTGTTGCTCCTCTTTATTGGGGCCTCCCTCTCCCCATTTACCCAGATTCAAAACCTGGCTCACCTCTTCATCCAATTAGTTACTGACCTCACCTCTGCAGTATTTCTCACATTAGTCCTTTACTTTTCATTCCCAATTACCACCATGCTAAATTATAACCTCATGTTCCAGTACCTGGATTATTTTAAGTCTCTTGTTTTTTATGCCTTTAATCTTTTCTTCTCCAACCCAACTTACATATCACTGCCAAATGAGTCCCCAAACCCCACTTTTATGTCCCAGACAAAAAAGTTAATCATACTCCTCGATTCATGGTTTATTTTAACCATTCATCTGTATGAAACCTCTCTTCTTTCTTTCCACCTCCATTTCCTAAGCTCTCTTCTTCCCAATAAGTTATTTCTTCTAATGTGTCTGATGAACATCCTTCTGTTTGCTTATATTCCCACCTTTATCTAGGTTTTTAAAATGTATTCATATTTCTGTGGGACACGTGGTTCATTGTTTCTGATTGATGCAAAGTACTCCATATGTTGTCTATCCATTCACCCAACAATGCAGACTTTAACTGCCAGCCACCAAAAACAATGGGGTAATGCAGCATCTCTTACTATACCCCTTTATGGACTTGTGTGAGAATTAATCTCTGGTTATATGCCCAGGAATGAAAATGTTAGGTCCAAGTGAATTTTATCAACCAAATGATGAAGAACTGCCAAACTGCTCTCCAGAGTGGCTATACAATCTACATTCCTGGAGGTTCCTATTTCCCCATATCCCAGACATGATTTGGTATTATCCAGCTCTACTTTGCATTTTTTGCTAGCCTAGCAGGTAAAACTAAAATTTTATTTTAATTGGGATTTCTATTACTAATGAATTTGAGCATTCCTTCATGTGCCTGTTTCTTTTGTTAATTCCCTCTTGTTTCCTTTGCTCATTTTTCTACTGGGGCCCCAGCCTTCTTGTTGAATTGAAGGAGTTTCTCTGATAGCCTGATAGTCCAGATATTAATTTATTAACAGGTTTAGTTACTGCAAATATCTTCCAAATGTTATCTGCCTGTTAACAATATCTATGTATTTATCGAACTGAAATCTTTAATATTGTATCTTCAAATGAATCATTTTTCACCTTATGATTTCATGCCTTTTTTTTTTTTAAGATTTTATTTATTTATTTGACAGAGAGACACAGCGAGAGAGGGAACACAAGCAGGGGGAGTAGGAGAGGGAGCAGCAGGCTTCCTGCTGAGCAGGGAGCCCGATGCGGGGCTCGATCCCAGGACCCCAGGATCATGACCTGAGCCGAAGGCAGACGCTTAACGACTGAGCCACCCAGGTGCCCCATGGTTTCATGCTTTTGAGCCCTGCATCAGGCTCTCTGCTCAGTGGGAAGTCTGTTTGTCCCTCTCCCTCCGCCCCTCCCCCTCCGCCCATGCTCTGTCTCTCACTTTCTCTCAAATAAATAAAATCTTAAAAAAAAGAGAATTACTTTCCTAATACTAAATCACAGTGTTTTATCAACTATAGTTTTGTCTACATATAGTTATTTATATAGTTTTATATCTACCTATAGTTATCTATCTATATATAGTTTTATCTATATTATTTTGGCCATTAATCCATCTGAGGTCTTTCTTTATAAACAGTGTTATATAAAGACTCTTTTATTTTTCTCCATATAGTAAACCAGTGGTCCCACACTGCCTACTAAATAGTCTATACATAACCAGTCAATTTAAAATGGCATTTTTTGGGATGCCTGGGTGGCTCAGTTGGTTAAGTGTCCGACTCATGATCTTGGCTCAGGTCTCGATCTCACGGTCATGACTTTGAGCGCAATGTTAAAATAAAATAAATCAAATGCCATTTTTATCTTATAAGTTCTCAACATATAAATGAATCTGGCTCTTGAGTCTCTATATTGTCCCAGTGGCCTGTCTGTTCTTAAATAAGTATCGTATGTTTTCACAATTACTGAAGTGTTTTATAATACTGTAACACGGGGCAGGGCAAGTTCCTTTTCTTTTTCTAAGTTAACTAGGACATTCACAGAAACTTTTAATCAGAATAAACTTCTAAAGTGGTCCCCCCAAACTATCAATACCATACAACAAAAGAAATATATCTAGTGTTCTACATATAGTAAATAAGAATAAAATACCTGTTAATTAAGAAGCCCTCAAATTATACGTACTTGGGAGACACTGTTAGTATGCTAAAAACAAATGAGCATGTTAAATGTTACTAAACACTACAATAATGAACTCAATGAAGATGAAATATAATGGGGCAATTGTAAAATCTAAACATTTCTGTTTAAAAAGCTCAACTGCAAAAAGAACAGATTAGAGGATGTGAACTTACTCCCTGCTTTTGTGGAAAGGGGCTTTAGGTGACTCTTAAGTCCAGAATGAGCTAATAGTGGGATGTAGCTTCCTCAAAATTAAAAAAATTAGGTTGCACATATTTAAGTGCTCAGTATAAAGCATGTAACCATCCCATCATATTATATAGTCATTTCACATTCTGAAGTACTCTGTTCAATTTGGAAAAATTTAAGACCCTAAAAAAATGAAACATAACCAGATAGAAAATTTTTTTTCTAATTTTTTTTTTCTGATAGAAATTCATGTAACATGAGTAAAAATAAACCAAACTAAGGACTTCAAGTCTGGAATAGGAAAGACTCAAAGAAAACTAGAGAAGCCTCCGGGTATTTTGATGGACTGTCATATTGTTTTTTTTTTTAAAGATTTTATTTATTTGACAGACAGAGACACAGCGAGAGAGGGAACACAAACAGGGGGAGTGGGAGAGGGAGAAGCAGGCTATCCGCTGAGCAGGGAGCCCAATGTGGGGCTCGATCCAAGGACCCTGGGACCATGACCTGAGCCAAAGGCAGGCACTTAACTGAGCCACCCAGGCACCCTCATATTGTTGAACTAAGCAGAAAATCTACCTTGTATGAAAGGACAGAATTAGGACAGAACTCACAAATAACTGGAAAGATACAAGGAGCTAGACTTGGAGCAAAAATTTCCCACCAGAATTATTCACAAGTGGATTATACTATCTTATAGAGTACCTAAGGTCATCCTTGCTAGAACAGCTCAAGGAGCAGTTATGTCATGGAAGATACCAACTAGAAGATGCCAACCAGAAGGCTGAGATGAATAATCTCTGCAATCCCCTCTAACAGTAAAATCTAAATAGAATACCGAATAATGAAACACTGCAGATTTTATCATGGCATCAGATATAAAAACTTCTTTATGAATAATTACACTAAACACTGAACTCAAACTCTCAGAGCCTTAATAGAATGGTGTTAGAATTCTATATACACTGGGCAATTCTAACATTATATTACTTTTAAATGCACAACTGCTAAGACCTATGTTTCAAAGGGAAACATAGGCTAGAATCAGCTTTTCTAAGGACCATCATTTATTATCATGTCTCTTTAATTTCTCACTAAGATGATGTAACTGATATATTTAAAGGTTTTTTTTTT